ATATATATATATATATACACACACACACACACACACACACCTTGCTACGTGTACTGTGTTAGGCTAACCGAGACTTGTCATGTGCACTTATATATTGTTGCTCTTTTGTTAGTTTTGTCTGCTTGTATTGTCCTCATTTGTAAGTCGCTTTGGATAAACGCGTCTGCTAAATGACTAAATGTAAATGTAAATGTATAAATACACACAAGGTATATATAAAGGTATGTCCTGGATGACAGTTCACACATCGAGTAAACTGAGCTTGGAATTTTCAAAACTTAATTTCAGATGGTTCAAATGGAATTCAATATATCATTTTCTTAGTTCTGCAGACATATCTTTGTGAGTACCTGTGAAAGCAGTGCTGTTGTATGGTTTGGCAGTATTCTCTGTGTGTGTCCTGGTATGGGTCATTGAGTAGGGAACTCTGAAGAGCTCCATCTGTGTCCCATGATTTAGGCCACGGCTCAAGATTTTGTTCTATAGCTGCGGCGATGCCCTTATCATGGGGAGGAATGATCTGAGCTCCGTTTGCCCAGTACACCTTAAACACACACACATTGAAAAATGGGTCATATAAGTATACTATATTCTTACAAATCAAACATATTATTTAGGGATCGAAGATACCTTGTATCCGTTGTCTTGTTTGGGATTATGTGAGGCTGTTACCATGACACCAGCACACAGTCCTAGATGTGATACAGTAAAAGGCTAAAAGAAGAGAAGGGAAGAGAAGAGGTGTTCATTTTTGTTGTTGTTTACATTTACACTTATACTAACGTTCAAAAGTTATGATATTTTTAAGGTTTTTGGAAAGACGTCTCTTACCAAGGATGCAATTATTTCAGTAAACAGTAATATATGACACAGAGCGCTTGTAAAATCATTGTAAACCACATCTTTTTGGGGAACCATTAAATTTTTTATTTTATTTATTTATTTATTTTTTGTGGATACTATGATACATTTGATAAATGGAAATTTCAAAAGGACAGTGTTTATTTGAAACAGAAGTTTGTAACAAGTAAAAGTCTTTACTGTCACTTTTGATCAATTTAATGCATCAATTTAATTGGTGAATAAGTATTAATTAATTTCTTTAAAAAAAAAACAATTAGTTATTAGTCACATAGTAGGTATATTTTATTAAGAGTAACACAACAATGTATCATGTAAATTTTAAAAGGAACACTACTTAAAAAGCTCTGAGCATGCAAGGCGCACATGAATCATGATCATGCTGTGGCAGGTCTCTGACTGCGCCAAAAATTTCTACCCAGACCCATGCTTGGCTGAAAATTGAGAAAATGACATTTAGATACCACCGGGCCACCAAGTTACAGATTTGGAGAGATAAAGAATATGTCAAGTTATGTGGATGGCATAACATTTTCCCTCTCAAATTACAAATTATTTTTTAAATCAATGTTTTTTGGATGAATACTACATTTGACCAAAACGTTTTTGGGCTAGAGGACACCGAGTGAGAGAAAGCTGTTTGAGGGCTCAAAGGGAAAGGTTGAGAGAGTGACAAGAGAATGAGTGAGAGCGTGTCCGTGTACTCATGGGAACAGAAAAGTTGATGATTGGTGAGGACTCTTCATGAACGATTCTAGTCTCTTACGCAACAATCTCACAATGTGTTCACGTGCAATTGTGTCTCTCTCTGTCTTCTTTCTCATGCGTTTGGTTGTTGGTTTGCGATTAGTTCTTTGCAGCTGGAAGTAGCAATTTTTCAAAAAGATCTTAGAAAGCAAACCTCTAACCACAATGGACAACACTTCTAAATAATAAACCAAAAAACTGTACAATGTTACAATTTCCTGTTCCATAGATATGTCCTAAATATCTGTACCATGCAAATCATTACAGTAATCATTCATTGCAATAGCATATGTCAAAATACCATTGTGATACCATTACCTTTTTTACTATGACGAGAACAATTTAAACGGAGGGAAATAAATGGTATTGGAATATGTCAAAATCAAGATTCGAACCTGCACACCTACATAAGGTTCTATGTGTCTTGGATTACCACAGTGTCATGGCTCTAGCATATCAGAATTAGTAATACACCTGAACTTTCTCTCCATGACTACAGAAGGTTCATACGAACCACGTATGGAGTGGGTGTGATGTCACTGAAGAGGTAGACTGGGACGCCTCGGCTGATCAAGACAGAAGCAGCAAGACAGGCGAATCTTTTACTGCTGCCGCCACTAGGGGGGTGAGCGCGAGCATCAAACCCGATCACCACCCCTCTCTGCTTCAGATCTGTAAAGCACTGCTCCAGGTACGCACAGAAACCCTAGCAGAAGCAAAAAGAGAGAAATGAATGTCAATCAATATCCTCACACAAAATGTATTGTGACATTGTGAAAACTGACAATGTGATAAATGGCTTTTGGAACCTTGATTATGCTTTACAGTTTTTAAAACTCTCTGTTTGTGTTATGTTCCACATAAGAAGGAAAGTCATATACATCTGGGACAGCGTGAAGGTGAGTAAATGAGTGGAGTATCCCTTTAAGGCCTGTTCACACCAAGATGAATTTGTGTGAAACTTTGGTCGGATCTAAAAAGAAGTCAGATTACATTACCTAATACAAGTAACCTAGATTATGTTACGAACTACAGTTTTCATCATGTAATCAGTAACGGACTACAGTTTTTAAGTAATCTACCCAGCTCTGCTTACGGTGTATTTTTTATTTTCTATAAGCGCCACCTACTGTCAGAGAATGAATTTGCATTTTCATTCAGCCCATCTGCCAGTTTTTCTCATTGGCTTGAACCGATAAATTGCATGCAAAAATTTTCGTGCCAAACATTGGTGTAAACAGACCCTACGTCTACACATACATTAAAGGAACACACCACTTTTTTTGAAAATGGGCTCATTTTCCAACTCCCCCAGAGTTAAAAAGCTGAGTTTTACCGTTTTCGAACCCATGGGTGGAGCAGATGCAATGGTGTTAAGCAGCGCCTGAAAATAGTCCCCAGCACGCTCCCTGTGCAAGCAGGCGATCACGTTGGTTATGATGACGGAAGTTATCCTATTTTCAGGTGCTGCGTAATATCACTACGCCTGCTGCACCCATGGTACGGCAGCAAAGTTCCTTGATTATTACGCCGGAATGAGAGTATAGTTCCTAGTCATATCGGCAGAAGAGTCAAGTTTTAAATGGGAAAAATATCGAAACTCTTTGGTCATTTTTGAGCGAGATGCTAATGGTCTAATCAGATTCAATGATCTGTGCTAAGCTACAGCTAAAAGTGCTACCGCCAGACCCGGAGATGGGCTGAATGGATTCGAAAACAGTTAAACTCAACTGTTTAACTCTAGGGGAGTCGTAAAATGAGCCTATTTTCAAAAAAAGTGGAGTGTTCCTTTAAGCTGTGTTTTTGTATGTACACAGATATACATATACATATGAATATGTATGCGAGTAGGTTTTATAAATTGAAGCATACACATGAATTGTTCACAATAACATCTATAACATGTAAACTCAACTGTTTAACTCTAGGGGAGTCGTAAAATGAGCCTATTTTCAAAAAAGTGTTCCTTTCCTTTCCATTCCTTTAAGCTGTGTTTTTGTATGTACACAGATATACATATACATATGAATATGTATGCGAGTAGGTTTTATAAATTGAAGCATACACATGAATTGTTCACAATAACATCTATAACATGCATTTACAAAATAGAGAGGGTGAATTTACATTTTATTCCGACTTTAAGGAGGGTACATAGCTTCCCAGGACATACTCTACTATTGTAACAAACATTATCAGCTGCTGTTTTGACAATCTTGTATGTCACCTGTGTGGTCTGTATGATGGTGAGGTCATTCATGCAGGACACTCCCGGTCCCATGGCGGCTCTCAGTCCCGCCGTGCCAAACTCCATACGGGCCCCGAAACACTTCTGCAGCTCTGACATGGCTCTATCCTTAACCATAGTCCGCACAGCAGCAGCCGTCTTTGGATTCTGTAAACACACACACAAAGTTATATTCTATATTTACCAAAAAATCCTTTCAAATAATGTGCACTCAGAAAATCACAATAAGACCAGGAACGTGCATTAAAAAAGTAAATTGGGTCAGTTTTAAAGTATTTAAAAGTGGCAATAAAAGTAAGAGAAGGGAGGAAGAAAGGAGCCTCTATGTCTCCAGCAGACACTTTGTCCTGATGATTCTGATTAGTATTGTGTGTGTGTGTGTGTGTGTGTGTACACGTCTCCTGTCCATCATGTGAGGGACAATATGTTTTCACTCTCCTGATAAGTGAGACCATGTGAGGATGCAAGCAAAGAGCTCTGATCCATTCCTGACTGCATGTTATGATGTCCTCTCTGAGCAGCACATGGGCCAATACAATCATTTTGGTGACTAAACATCCAATATACAATAAAAAAAAAACTGTATAGTTCTACCCATTTTACATCCAATCAGCAGCAGTTAAATTTTTTTTGCACTGTAAAAAAGGTTGAATTCAACTGAATGTCCAATTTTGCTTAATCGCTGACCTTCCACTTCTGCGTAAAACCATTAACTGTTTCATGTGAGCCAGTTAAGCACAAGACTCCGATTACTGTAATGACACTACACAAATATGCAATGTAATTACTTTTATGGAACTGTCCATTGACACTGATTTGCATGCTATTTTGTTGTAATAAGTGTAACTATTTTGTAACTAGTATAAACTATAATTTGCTGTTTCAGTGTAACTGGGATAGTCTAGAAACTGTTTGCGCCTGTTTGTATGTTTCTTTGTTTTTGAAGCATAATGCTCTTCGCTGTGAGTTCAGGCAGGTCATGTGTTTGTAGCAAATGAATCAGCCACATTTGCTCAATTCAAAAACACTCCTGATGATTTATTATCTCAAATGTTTCTCTTGAGATTAAATGAAGGCTTATTCTTAAGTCTCCTGCTTCTCAGAGTTTTCTGCTGAGAAAAAGAACCCAGTGATCTGTGACCTGCTCAGATTTGCCAAGATATGCAAACGTTTTTAATATGAAACCAAATTATCAATACTTTGAAATCTACTCTCCTTCGAAAAGAAATTAATACTTTTATTCTGCGAGGACACATATAAAATGTGATCAAAAGGGACAGTAAAGACATTTATAAAAGATATTAAAAAACAGTAAAGACATTTATACAAAAGATTTCTATTTCAAATCAATTCTGTTCTTTTGAACTTCTATTCATCAAAGAATCCCGAGAAGAAGAAAAATCCACAAACATTTAGCAGCACAACTCTTCTTCACCATTGATAATAATAAGAAATGTTTCCTGAGCAGCAAATCAGCATATTAGAATGATTCCCGAAGGATCATGTGACACTGAAGACTGGAGTAATGATGCTGAAAATTCAGCTTTGATCACAGGAATAAATTACATTATACAATATACGTAATGTGACCCTGGACCACAAAAATTGAATAGCATCATCTGAAAGCTGAATAAATAGGCTAAGCTTTCCATTGATGTATGGTTTGTTAGGATAGGACAATATTTGGCTGAGATACAACTATTTGAAAATCTGGAATCTGAGGGTGCAAAAAAATTAAATATTGAGAAAATCATGTTTAAAGTCGTCCAAATGAAGTTCTTAGCAATGCATATTACTAATCAAAAATTAAGTTTCGATATATTTACAGTAGGGAATTTACTAAATATCTTCATGGAACATGATCTTTACTTAATTTCCTAATAATTTTGACCCATACAATGTAGTTTTGGCTATTGCGACTTAAGACCTGGTCCAGGGTCACATATTCAAATAGAAAAATTATTTTAAAATTGTAATAATATTACTGTATTTACTGATCAAATACATCAGCCGTGGTGACTTCTCTAAAACCTTACCAACCCCAAACCTTTGAATGGTATTTTAAATTTTATAGTTCTGAGACAAATGAGAGTATAGAGCTAAAAGAAAAATTTTTTAGAAGAAACATCTTGGGCAGAGCTGATTAATCTCTGAACAAAAATGCATTTTAAATAATGGCATCATAATAAGGATCTGACTGAATCTCAACTCAGATGGCATTGTGTTGAGTAATCTACTGTAGTTGGTAAGAGCACTTCCTCTAAAGCATTCTGTAAAAGCATGTTTACTTCCACTTTAGATGATCATCACAGGCTGTTCCTCTTCACTGTTAATAACTGAGCTGTTTGTTAACGAGTCACTTAAAAGGAATGTTTCAAGCCAGCGTTTGGTACCGTGCCATACAGCTGAACTCCAGCTTAAGCACTAGAGATGTCAGATCTCGCACATATGAAGCATGTGTTTGGTCTCACCTTGTCATACTGCAGCCACTGCGTGACAGCCTGGTCCACACGACTGTCTCCTGTGCTTTCCAGGCCGTTCTCCATGTTGATCTAACTCGGAAGTAAACCGTAATTCAACCGATAAACAATAAGCGATCAACTCTGTTATACGAGCATGTGTACGTTGACGGTCGCTCTGAATGGATTTAGTGTGTGACCCGTGAATGCTCCTGTTCGACTTAGTATACTGATATAGTTGTAGCACGTCCGAAACGGAGTGGGCGGGGTTTCCGTGAAAGGGGCGGGGCACGTGATTGGCCCATGCCATTGCGTAGCAGCTCATTGGTGGAGCACTTTCGGAATAAGCTTTCAGTTCTTTGACCTGTGCAGTTTTAACTTTCATAAAACTAATTTAGATTCTATATTTAACGTTTTGTGTAAAAAATTGCAATAAATGTAGTATATTATTTAAGATATTTCTGTGTTCCTGAAGGTAAATTGAAATATAATTAAAGCAGTTAAACAGTTATTAAATGAACATAAAAGCTCGTTCATGTACAAAATATCCCTACTTTCATTGGGATCCTAAACTGTACCTGTTTATATTATTTTATACAGCAGAGAGCGCCAAGCTCCTGTTATTAATGGCACTGAGATCACTTCAGTGTGTGAAGAAACATTATAAAGATGTGCTGCAAAATGATTTTATCTGTATAGTAGCCTATTTGTAAGAGACTTCAATATAATTTCAGATTATAGACTTTAAATATCTGGTGAAGATTACTGACTCTACAATGACTGAAAGAGTATAACGATCAGAAGAGAATTTATTCGTCAAAGATGTTTTTTTACTCATACAATGTAAAAAGATTTTATAAAAATTACATTTTAATTTCAATAAAAGCCAAGTTTAAGGACTATATTATTTTTTCACATTCTATATAACTGTATTTTCTGATATTCCAATGAAAAACAAACGTTTAAAAGTTAAGTTAATATGATGTTTCAGTGGAGACTGTAAAAAACGGTGGGATGCTGACATTGTGAGGAATGCAAAGAATGCTATGATATACAGGTGCATCTCAGTAAATTAGAATGTCGTGGAAAAGTTCATTTATTTCAGTAATTCAACTCAAATTGTGAAACTCGTGTATTAAATAAATTCAATGCACACAGACTGAAGTAGTTTAAGTCTTTGGTTCTTTTAATTGGGATGATTTTGGCTCACATTTGATATCCATATTAGTGTTCACACCAATTGAACAAATAATAACGTGTTCATGTAAAACGTGTGCTTAAGTTATGTTCTGTGTATGTAACTACAGTACGCGCCGAATTTTGTGTGGTTGTCAACATTTTTAATGTTAATCAGATAGAAAACAATCACTCTGAAAGTGATTGCAATGATATCTCCTAATGTTATTACTTTATAGTTATAGTTATCGTTCTTTGTGTAAAGGCCTTCACACTATGGAAGCCCATTTCTGCCACATAAAAAAATATTATGATTTGGTAACTCATAATAACATAACATAAAAGTCCTATTTATGAGTCAAAATAATGAGATAACAGTTATAATTATGAGATTAAAAGGTTAAAAATGACAAGATGCTAAATCATAGAAGATATAAAATATTAGCTCAATAGAGTTCCTACCATGATAGATAAACAAATGTTTGTTTGTATGAAATGAGAACTAGAAATCAAAATTATTCTCACTGAAAGCTTTCTTTTGTTTTCTGCATGCATAACTGCTTGACAATTTATTATTTATTTTTCATGTCAATTTCAGTGTGCCGTTTTGTGAAAAAGGCCTTATAAATTCTGCAGATGGTGCATAAATATTTGCAATAGGTTTTCCAACTGCATTTTCGGGGATGAGTTGTGTTTATTCTGTGTGGGTGACACGGCTCCATCGCTGTCACCCACACTAAAGCTGTGAATATCTGTCACATCTCCGCTGGCCTGCAGGCAGTGAAAACAGCCCATCCCTCAGTTATGCAACCAGCTACTGCAGGCCAGGCACTGTACTGGTGTCAGCACCACTTACAGCAGTGGCATGGCTCAGTGAATAAATCCTTGCTTATGAATTCATTATTATGTGACCCAAACCTTTCTAACATAAAAACTTGGTGTGGTTTGCACATCCTAAAATGACTGAAGAAAGCATTTAAAGGAAGGAAGGAAGGATGGATGGAAAGCACATTACCAGACTTCAATAATCAAGTCTGTGATCTATGGAAGGCAGACGGGGCCAAAACTCTTTAAACAGAACACATACATTTTTAATCAACACGCACTGTATGTCCATGTTAACCTGCAATTTGAACGCGTTTCTTTTGTATGTGTAGACATGCACATTTTGGCCATGTTAAGGCATTATTTTTCACCCATTTCTTTATTACATGTAAAGACGCCCAGTTTTAACATGTTAAGACAATGAATTTTAACGTGTCCTCAATGCGCACACATTCTGGCTGTGTTCGATTGTGTAATAGTTTTTAAAGCAGATTTACTTCTAAATTTATCCACATTAATCCTTTCTTTAGTTTATTGTGGCATTGCTTTACTGAAATTTATTGTGCTAGAGTACATTGTTAAAACTGCTAAAAAACTAAAAAGGACATGGACATGAAATCATCAGACTGACGTCGCACACAACACACAGATTAATTTTCCTCATGAACAAATATAACATCTGATGTTTGCATACTAGTGTACCATTACAACATCCTTCATAAACATGACATCTGACGTGTTGTATATACCAACATGCCATTGCGTCACACATGGTCTCAAATACAGCAAATTCATTGGCCGCTCTGCGTGTTGTCTCGGACAAACAGTGCGTGTTGGTAGTCAAATTTCATACATTCGGTTTAGAAGACGTTTGGCCCCATCCACCTTCCACGGTGATCAAATGTATATTGTATAGGTTTACTTTCTAGAATGGTCAGCTGTCCCCATATGAGCACAAACAGGCTGAAGCTGTACTTTAGTACACTATATTAAAGGAGCACAGACTATCCTCAGAAATATGCTCTGGTTCTAATGCATTTTAACTTTACCATATTACAGACAATCCTTTTTGTCTGTGAAACTGTGCAAGTGCCATAAAGAAGTGGAAAATTTCTTACTTGCTCCTCTCCCAACTGCAAGCAGCAGACCCCACCAATCAGTAAGACAAGAACTGAATTAGTAACCAGTGCAGATCAATCAGTATTTAGTGGTAGGGTAGTTTTAATATTAAAGACCAAGTCAACAAATTTTTTTTTTTTTTTTTTTTTTTAAATAAAAACACCTCACAGTGCAATTCATTTTGAAAGGTTTATTTCACCAAAGATGAGGGCAAATAAAACTAAATTTTCATTTAGATGGATGGACAAAAGAACTTCAAGGAGTTAGACAGCCTCAGTGCGGAGTTGACCATCTCTTCACTGACACGGATCATGAAGTCAGTCATCCTTCAGAACGGTCTTCTACAGAAGAGAAGCCCTCTTCTGCTTAGTGACTTGCCATCTCACAGAGTTCTCCACAACTTGCCCCCGGTGAAGAGTTTATGCCTCGCACTGTTTCTCCTGTTCAATTGCTGGAAATAGGGGGGACATTTTTTTGAAAGAAAGAGGGGGAAAGAAAGAAACCAAAAGGGAAACTAATCTACAAAAAAATAAAAAGGCTCATGTTGCTAATAATAAAAACATCATTCAGGGTTTAGAAGGTGAGTGCTCCATAAAACTCAAACTTACTATCTTTAGTGGGAAGGGTGTTCTTCTCTTGTGTCTCAGTCTTCTTCAGCTTGGTCTTGTCAAACTGAGAGATCTCACTGATATCTGGTTTGTCAGCCATTGCTTCACTTCAGATTTCTAAGGGAAAATAAATGGGTTAAACAAAGAGATGAACTACAAATATAAAAAACATAACAGCACAGAGCACTACACAAAACCTCTCACTTTACTGCTGAAGACCAACACACAAAATGCAGAAGACAGAGTAAAATTGCTGATTTGACACTTATATATTTAAACAACACCATCTAAATGCTAGCTAACCGAGGAATTTAATTACAATTGCAGGTGCAAGTTGTTGACGATTTTGCTCCTTCATTTTCATTGGTTAATTGATCAATTGCTTGACAGTTTTTTTTTTCAGTAACGACACCCTTTCTCCAAAACATATGGATCAGTCTTGAATAAAATGCTAATATCTGGAATTTAGACTACCCCCCCATAAAAATTTACAATTTTATTTATTAATCTACAATGATCTTTAGCTGTATGTTGTCATGTGATTTACACCAAGCTCTGTGTAGTTCTGTGCTGCTTGAATTAAAGTTCTTCAACTCACAAAACAAATCTCAGATAATCGATGGCGTTGTGAGACACAGCAGGTTTCAGATCAAGCCAATCAGAGCGCCAGATAACATGACATGAGGTGAGGTTTCAATTTTTATTAAATGTACATCACTTAGTCATCAGATTGTGCGGGATATTTTATCATATGTTCATTCAGAGACCGTTCATAGCGGGTAAACAATAACAATATGATCAAAAGTGGCTGTTTGAACTTTGAACGGGATGTGATGCTTTTGGATGATGTAGCTCTGTTGTTGTGAAGATGCTTCATTTTTATAATTCGAAATAATCTAGTGATTCGGTTTAGATGATTTTATATCATGATTTTCTGTTTTTCATGGCTGAGATGAACGGGTGCGGCTGATTTGATTTGCCTTTGTCATAAACATCACAGGTCACAAGAATTATTATGGTAACCATAGTATATACCGGCTGCATCAAAAGAAAAACAATGAACCGAAAATGACAACAAATACTCTCAAAGAGATTTGAATGAAGCTCTATATTTATTTATGGTTGCAGTAACGATAACTGTAGGCTACTATGTCTATCTAGCTATCTCTAGGCTACTGTAAGGTCATCATGGTAACTCCCTATAGAGATACTCGTCTCCTAGCAATGTGGAATTCATTGTTATTCTAGATTTGCCAGGTTTAATTTAGACTAAAATATTTTGGATTAGAAGTGAATGACCTGGACAGAATTTTTTTTTGCATAAAAATCAACTAGGGATACCTGGTTTCTGTATTAATTCAACAGACTAGTCTAGTGGTTGTCAACCAAAAGGCTGGAGCCCACCAGGGGTCTTCAGCAGCAAGCTTCCAAATGGGATGCAACATAAGAAAAATGATGAAGAATTTTCTCTTCATTTCCTCCATAAGCCAAATAAATTCTCAAATGTACATAAAGTTGTTTAAAACAGTTTTTAATTCTAATATTCGGATTCGGATTTCTTATTATCACAGTTGAAAACAGTTTTGCTACATAATATTTTTTTGGAAACAATGATACATTGTTTTTCAGGATTCTTGCTCAAAAGAACAGCATTTATTTTGTCTTTTGTGTCGCTTTTGATCAATTTATTGCATGTATATCCGATATAAGATATAAAAATAAACTTCAGCATATATCTTGAGGGCATATGGATCACATTTTGTTCTCTTATATGCTTAATTATGGTTCAGTTGTCCTGAAGTCAGTGGGTTGTTTGAATGGGTTTTTGGTTAAATTCCTGAAAAAGGTCGATGACTCACCCTTATTTAGAAACATAAAATACAAAAGTAATTCTCCTTGTGATTTTTTTTAAAGCTTATACATTATACAAGCAGTTGCAAACAAGTGGCTTAATGGGACAGCAGTGGTTGTCGGGGGCATTAAAAATCTTCACGCTGAACAGGAAAACTCATACTCACAGTCCGCTTTTTTAGCCTTGTTGTGTTTATAATCACACTCTTGCAAACTATTCTTACTAAAACTTTCAGGGAAAGGTTTTTTTTTTTTAAATAAAGACCGAAAGAGTTGTCAGAAGCTTAGTGATGGTGACTTTGAAGTCATGCCACCATGATTCTGTTTATAGTTTTTAGCTTTATAGCGTTTAGCTTTTTTACTTCTGGTGATTGTTACTTCTGGCTTCAAAACTCCTAAAAGTTGCATTCACTTGTGAAGATTATGATTCTTATGCATTTTGTTCATCGTGATAAACTTTTGTCAGTCATAGTGCTTTTCTGCAATAATCCAAAAGCCAATGGAAAAATGCTTTTGGGTTTTTGTCGAGGGAACCAGGGTGATGTGAACTTCCAAGATGGCCTACAAAAATAGTATACACTGGAAAAAATTATTTTCTTGTATGTTTTCCCTTTGAATTAAGATTATTTTTCTTACCTCATTGGCAGATCTTTTTTTCCCCTTTTTTTTAAAGCAAAAACGAACAAAATTTTGATACATTTTTATTATGTTAGACTTAATATGTAATCCTGGAGCACAAAACCAGTCTTAAGTCGCTGGGGTATATTTGTAGCAATAGCCAAAAATGCATTGTATGGGTCAAAATTATAGATTTTTCTTTTTTGCCAAAAATCATTAGGATATTAAGTAAAGATCATGTTCCATGAAGATATTTTGTAAATTTCCTACTGTAAATATATTAAAACTTAATTTTTGATTGGTAATATGCATTGCTAAGAACTTCATCTGGACAACTTTAAAGATGATTTTCTCAGTATTTAGATTTTTTTGCACCCTCAGATTCCAGATATTCAAATAGTTGTATCTCAGCCAAATATTGTCCTATCCTAACAAACCATACATCAGTGGAAAGCTTATTTATCAGCTTTCAGATGATGTATACATCTCAATTTCGAAAAATTGACCCTTATTTTGTGGTCCAGGGTCACATATGTTAAGTCATTTTGCTTCATCAGTGTACATCATCAATGCAGTGCTTTATACAGACATAAAAACAATTTGGTAATACAATTAAAATGTTAAATAAAATATTATTATATGCAATTAATATTTTTTTCACATGCATGATTATCTTAAAGTTAATAGCAATACAACATACTGTTTAAATTGTTACATTTATCTAGAAAAAATGGCTGTTTTATTAATTGTTGATGATTATTTTTGTATCTTTTTCATCAGAAGTGCATTATAGTTCATGCACCAGATGATGTCATACCTGGTCCTCATTTTTGACCTTTGACTGGGTATCAACGAGGACCATGGCCTCCGCCGACCAAGACCAGGAGTCACTGCAGAACCAGAACCACTACTTGTGTGGTTCTGTAGCAGCGTTCGCCAACATTGTCATCACATTTCCCATACACAAGGCACTGTTCCGGCAGCAGCTGTTCGGAGTGCAGGCGTGGGAAGCTGTGCGGCAGCTCCAGAGTGATGGTTTGCACACACTGTACCGTGGCATCCTGCCGCCATTACTGCAGAAAAGCAGCACTATTGCAATTATGTTTGGCCTCTATGAGGACTTCTCCAGATTGATGCAACTACACGCTCCTCAAGCCCCCGTCCTGTTAACGGACAGTATTGCAGCAGTTTTAGCGGGAACAGCTGAAGCAGTCTTAATGCCATTCGAGAGGGTCCAAACTCTACTGCAGGACCCACGTCATCATGGAAACTTTCAGAATACTGCGCGTGTTTTGCTTCAACAACATGGCATCCGAGAGCTTTACCGTGGCCTTGTTCCGATCCTACTCAGAAATGGCCCTAGCAATGCTTTTTTCTTTGGTTTGCGTGGACCAATTAAGGAACTGCTCCCCGAGACAAAGGCAGGGCAGGGCAAGCCGGTTAGTGACTTTGTATGCAGAGGGATTCTGGGAGCGGGTCTCGGGGTGGTGTTTTACCCTCTAAATGTAGTCAAGTCTCACGCACGGTTACAGATTGGAGGGGAGTTTCAGTCCTGCAGGGTGATCCTGGCAAACGTTTTGAGAGAGAGAGAGAAGTAACATGTGGCCAAGTATGGTGACCCATGAACACACACAGCAGTGAACACACACACCGTGAACACACACCCGGAGCAGTGGGCTGCCATTTTTTGCTGCGGCGCCCGGGGAGCAGTTTGGGGTTCGGTGCCTTGCTCAAGGGCACCTCAGTTGTGGTATTGAAGGTGGGAGAGACATTCACTCCCCCCACCTACAATCCCTGCCGGTACGAGACTCGAACCTGCAACCTTTGGGTTACGAGTCCGACTCGCTAACCATTAGGCCACGACTTCCCCAGGGACGGGAAGGTGAGCCGTCTGTTTCAAGGTGTGCATTTGAACTTCCAGAGCTCTATTTTCTCATGGGGAATCATAAATGCTACATATGAGCTTTTACTGAAAATGCTCTGATTGAGATGAGTAGGACGAAAGGGGAAATTATGAAGTGAAAGCATACACAACTCTGAGCAAAAAGAGTGGAGAATGAGTCTTCCTTGCTCTGTTTCTGCTGCTAAAAATACAGCATTAAAAACAGCACATGCTTACTTGAAGTGCAGTTATTAAAGGGATAGTTGACTCAAAAAAATGAAAATTCTGTTTTCATTTTTTCATCAAGGCTAACTGAAAACACAGGGAAAGGGAAATGTTTGATTTGATCATTTTAGCAATATATAATTTTCATTAAAAAAATTAATGTGATGCATAACCTTTCAAAAGTTAGCAAGATTTGTTTTATGTTTTTAAAGACATCTCTCGTGCTCACCAAGGTTGCATGTATTTGGTCAAAAATATAGTAAAAACTGAAATATTATTGCAATTTCAAATACCTGTTTTCCAGTTGAAAATATTTTAGAATGTAATTTATTCCTGTGATCAAAGCTAAATTTTCGTGATCCTTCAGAATCATTCTAATATGTTAATTTGCTGTTCAATTTTAATATAGGATTATTTGTTGAATATAAAGTTTAAAAGAATAGCATTTATTTGAAATAGAAAAATTCCAACATTATACATGCCTTTACTGTCATGTTTGATCAATTGAATGTATCCTTATTGAATAAAAGTTTTAATTTCTTTTAAAAAATTGGACTGACCCCAAGCTTATGAATGGTAGTGTATGTACATGTTTTCATGATTAAACCACTTTTTCATCATTTCTAATCAGGCACTTAACAGAGTACCCATGAAAAGGTTCACTGTAAAAAAAATCCGTAAAATTTACAGTAAAAAAACGGCAGCTGTGGTTGCCGGAATTTTACCATAAAAAATACGGTAGTAACGTTTTAGGTTTTACGGTTTTAACTTAAATTTACAGTTAAATACCGTAATTTCATTAACTGATATAATGTTAATATACCAACCTATTGAAGTACTGAAATCTGTTTTGTACCTTTCTAATGCACTGATAACCACCAAATGCAGGAGGTGATGAGAAAGTCACATGATGAACCAAAGCCCATCACAAGCAGCTTTTAAATAATAACACTAAACACCATCATGGTAACTGTCACGAATTCAGTCCATGGACTTCTGTTTATTCACCACCAGAGGTCACCCTTTCCATTTCATTGACTCTCGCACTACACAAACTGTTGCATAACACCCCGGACTACATTTCCCATCATTCTTTGCACAATTTGCACACTGCCCTGATTGCACTCATTGCACACAGCTGTTTCTAATTACCTCATTCACTATATAAACACCCACTCTAACCACATTTCTCTGCTGAGTATTGTTTAGCCTGTACCCCTTTCCGAGTCTCCGTGTTTTCCTAGTTTTGCCTTGCCTTGTCTGTTTTCTCCGGTTTTGATCTTCCCCTGTTTTCCTGGATTCCTCCCTTTAGCCTTGCCCCTGTGACTCTGTCTGCTGATCGGTGACCTACGCTAGCCCGGTGACTATTCTTGTGTTTTGCCCGCCATATACCTGTTTGCCAGTGTTTTGACCCTGCCTGTTTACCACGTCTCTGAAATAAAGCTTTGCATTTGGATCCGAACGTCTCACGTCTCGTCAGCCCCCAACCCTGATATACAAAACTGATAAGAAAAAACTAAGAAGAAACACCGTTATTTCAACAAAAAAACATCACATTTGAATTGTAACGCAGGGATTTCTGGGAATGTCAATTTACGGTTATTCACTGTAAATTATATGGTCTTTTTCACTTCCAAAAATGGTATACTACCGTAAAGTTTGTCCAATACATGTAATGTCCAATACAGTTTTTCACCGTATATAGTAGGGGAATTTACCGTTAACCATTTAACAGGTTTTTTACTGTAGCATTTTTACAGTCTTTTACCGTTGAATTCACGGTTATTTTTTACAGTGTTGTCTTAGCCAATAGAAGGGCTCTGTTGAGGAAATGGTACGATTCTAGGGGGAATAGGATCTTGCACAACACCAAATCTGGTTCAGATTGCTTCACAAACTATTCAACTTGTTTTTGTGAACTGGATCAACGGATTCATTGCCAGATCAGACTTAAAAGAACAATGAATTCATGACTTCTGTTTCATGAGTGCTTATAAAAAGTGGATATTTAGTGAATAGTGAACAGTAAAAGAAAAAGTCATACAGAATTAATTTTTAGCTGAAGTGTCCCTTTAATTCATCATCTGACTGAATAAATCACATGCATCATCCAGTTTTATGAATTTGATTAAAGATTGAATTGGCACACACATGAGAAGAAGCGAGTGTTGAGAGAGACATCTTTGACCTCAACTCACTCAGGGTATCCTCTGATACATTACAGTATTCTCTTTTCTAAACTGACTGTACTGTGGTCTCTTAACCACTAAGTATTCAGATCACTAAGTAGTCATTACAAGGGTGGGAATGTTTGGGGGGGTTTTGCCGCCAACTTTAAATATAGTTTTGCTGAATTAGCTTTGGTGTCGCCAAAAGCTGTAGACTCCAGTAACCATATGACGACTTCAGTTCCAGTCCAAGCATTGATTAGTCATCTAGAAACCAATAAACACAAAGAGTCAATTTGGTGTTTTTGGTCCCTGTTGCTTTCATGTGGTAACAGAATCATCCCATCTGAGCCAGAACTCTTCATGCTTTTAGTGCCCACTGAAGCTATAACAGATTATTTCAATGACATAAGCAATGATTCAGTCATGTTTGGATTGTGTTTCTCATGCACTAAAAGATTCTTTGAATCACTCCCAAATATATTGGGATTTTAAGAAGGTGAGACCACAGACCTCAGCTGACGATGGCAAAGGGCCAAGGTGGAGTCTGTAAGATTTCACCAAGACTGCATTTATTTGATAAAAAATACAGTATAAATTGTCATTCTCCGGTCTTCAGTGTCACATGATCCTTCAGAAATCATTCTAAAATGCTGATTTGGTATTCAAATAACATCAATGTTGAAAACAGTTGTGCCACATCATATTTTTGTTAAACCCCTAATAAATAGAAAGTTCAAAAGAACAGCATTTATTTGCTATAGACATCTTTTATAATGTTATAAATGTCTTTACTGTCACTTTTGATCAAATGAATGCATGGTTACTGAATAAAATGATCAATTTCTCTCAAAAAAGAAAATCTTACAGACCCCAAACTTTTGAACAGTAGTGTATATGCATGTGGGAGAATAAATGCATAAGCTTTTACTGTATAATAAGTTGAATTTAAACTTATAAACAGAGGATCTAAATATCATAGACTGACCTCACAAACTGAACATCAACATGAATGAACATTTCACATTGTCTTATACTCTATGTCATTCAAGTCTAAACTTGAATAAACACTACTTGAGCACACACTTACACTACACAACTTTCCCCCCGATTTACAGTTTGGATAAGTTGCTGAAAGTCAGAGCCTGTCTGCAGATTTGAGTTGACAGATTTCATAGAAAAGCACGTAGTGAATGATGGTCACAGACTCAGCTTTCCATCTAGTCGGAGGATATCAAACCTCTTTGATATTTTGAGCTGATTTTAGAATACATATTGTTTTCATTTGTCACGCATCTCCTACCAGCGCATGAGTTTGTTGTGATTGGAATGACTTTAAACTTTAAAGTCTGTAGTGTGTGATCCTCAGTCGTTTAGTGTATGATGCCCAGTTTTCCTCTGTGACTATTTACAAAGTCAGTAAGTGTATGATGCCCAGTGTTTTCAAATCTGTTCAGATATTAAAAGTCGTGTAGTGTATTCCAGACTATTAAACTTAAGTTAATAAGATATATGCATACATATTTTAACCTACAAAACGCACTGTATAAAACAACTGCATGATGAATAGATGAAATCTTTATAAAAATGTATATTTTCCTCTTTTATACCACCTATGTAGAAAATTAAATGCAGTAAAAAATGTTGCAACTATCCCTTTAAGTTCATTTTTAGATATTCATGTTCTAACTGGTTTAAATGTTGTTCATGTTAGACTGTTCACAATTGTTGATACCATTATTTTACCGTTTACAGTTGTACATTCTTGTTGCATTTGAAAGCTTTTAACCTTATATTGTCTTATATATCTTAAGCCATCCTAAATTGAATTGTGTAAAAATGTTGTGTGTAATGTAAAAGTGTTGTTTAAATGTGCCATTTATAGTTTTCTGTCTTTGAATGTATATGATATAAGCAAAGACTTTGTATGGGTTTGTGTGCTTTTTTAAGAAGAAAAAACTTTATGTAAAAATATTGTACAATAATTAAAATGTAACTTACTGAATGAAATGTGTAGGTGTACTTATTCTGATCATCCAGTGTTATTCTGAAATTAGGATGTTTAGGATTTTACATTTTAAATAATGTCACTCTCGTTGTAAATTATTTGTAATTGTTTTTATTATCTTATATACACAGACATGTTTTAACCATTAATGTAGTAAAATATAATTAAAATCTTTAAATTATAGAAAATTATTCATAAAAGTGAACACGTACGCATGCCGTTAACGATGCATGAACATGTTGGATGGAAAGAGGCACTTGTTGGGTGCCCCAAAGTAGCATAAAAAAAGTATGAAAAGTATGAAAAATGACCTTACTTTACCACATAGTGTAACTCCTCTTTAAGATTTTACTTACCTGGTATTACTTACCTGCTGAGTTTATTATTTTAATTAACATTTGAAGTGATTAATGTAATTGGTAAAACAAGGCTTAACCTCTCTAGAATTTAAGCAAGATAGGAATGGTAAATATTCCCAGATTATTATGTTTTCATATTTCCTATCACAAGTTTTTTTAATGTGGCCCACACTTAATGAATAAGGAGGAATCACACCAGTGACAGGAAACACTGGGCACGTGAGAGGATCCTCTGATGCTTGACAGAATCCTTTTGGACCAGAGCGGCTTCAGCAGGAACCTCTGGGACCAGGCAGGTTGAGAGAGGAGCTCTGGGATGGGAGCAGCCTTGGACACCAGCTC